TCCTTATTTTAGTGTTATACTCATCCTCTTTTTCATTTTGTCTTGATAATAGGAATAACTAACATTTATTATTCTACACTCAAATCACTCCTATCTTTACTCTTTAAAACTAAAAAAATAAGTAACTAGATAAAAATAGTAAAAATATTAATATTACTAATGTCAAGGGTGGAGCCAGAGCACTGGGCCGATACAGAGAATATTTTAAAAAAAATCACACGAAATTTTTTACACAAAAAACTAGACATTTTTTAAATCTGGGTTAGTCCAGGGCCAGGGTTGGCCACCCCCTAGCTACGCCCTGGTTAATGTCAAGTACTCCATTTTACAAAAATATTAGTTTAATATTTTTTAAAAAACATTAATAATTTAGAAACCAATTTTTCCGGTTCAGCTTTGAACCGGTTAAATCGGCTCGGTTCCAATTATGATCATAATATATCTGATCCTATTTCCAGTTTCTATTTTTTTGTAATACCAGTTTCAGTTTCGATTCGGGTACGATTCGACCTGGTCCGGCCTCACGACCTGGTACGATGCCCACCCCTGGCTACACCTCCACATATGGGAGGTTGTACAAAGTAGCTCAATTGGTAAAAGAGAGAATTCTCCAAATAGGACTACATGAAACTTTAATTGTCAAAATAGGACCATAACTTTTTTTTATCGTCAACTATCCTTCTTTCATATCATAAGTTTCAGGATCATTACATCAATCAAAGCAAAAACAAAAATGACACCAACTAAAATCCAACAACTACGATTGTAAACCCTATGATCACTTAGAGACGGTCACCCCTGAAAGAGCAACGAGAATCACTAACCATGTAGCGGGCTTGACACAACCATCTATGTTCCCATCCACCGCTAACGGTCTTCATCGTTGCCATGCCCTTGCTACCCTTCCCGCGAAGAAATTGATCGCCGAACGCTGGCTTCAATGTCGGCAAGCTTGGGCAAGAGTTCTTGTCAATCTGCCTCAAATCCAACTCCAGCGCGGACACAAGTGAAGGGGATTCACCGGCCGGAAGAACCAAACCTTAGATCTGCTAAGGAAAAATCAAACTCTAGACCTGCTAGGGAGAGACTGCGGCGCTCGCAAGGCATAAATTGCCTATTTCGGCAGTTTCAGTATTATTGAACCACAAGCATGAAGATTAAGGGAAATTAGTAGTTTGAAACCAGAGTGTACACAGAATTGAGTTGTGTCCAGAAGAATGCATGAAACCCTAGCTCTTGAGAGGAGGAGGACAGAAAGGGGCTCATCCTACTTCAGAATAGGACCATAACTTAAAAATTCTCTAACTAGGACTAGATTTCCAATTCCACCCTTTCTCTATTTTAGTACCATTCATACTCCCTCCGTCCCGAATTAAATTGCAAACTTTGACTGGCACTAGGATTAAGGAATGACAATAAATGATGCTTGTTTTTTACACTTTTGTTCATCTTTCTAGTAGTAGATGCATTTAAATTAATGGGGAAAAAGCAAAAGTAAGGGTAGATTTGTCACTTTATTCTTATTTACATACCTAAAATAGAAAGTGGAAAATCATTTTGGAACAACCAAAATAGGAAATTTTCCAAATCAAATTGGGACGGAGGAAGTATTTCATTAATAATTAAAAATCATATACTACCTCCGTTCTTAAATAAATGCAACACTTTGACTTTTACACTATTCACGTGTTCTACTTTGACTACATTTTATTTATTAATGTAATAATATTATTTTATGAAAAAAATATAAGATATTACTCTAAATAGGAGTAAAACAATAAGAAAGTTCCAAAGTAGGAGTTGTTATTGATAAATTCCCTAACTAGGAGCTTTCCGATTGATTATTCGTTTCTTCTTCCAAATTTACCCTCCCACATTAATTGTCACGTACCACTCACGCACGCACATGGGTCTCTCTTGCGTGTCATCATCACGCACTGTTCACACTCATTAAGGCAAGGCAGGTGATGGGTCTCACCTTTTCCAATATACCTTCCATCACTCACCATCGCCAACGGCGAACTCAAGTCCAAAACCGGCGGATGACGGCGACTGTCACAGGTGAGTTTTGATTCCACTTCCTCTTCTTCTTCCCGTTCTTCTTCTTCCTCTTCTTCTTTCCCTTCTTATCCCATCTTTTGCTTTGCTCGACCGTAGATCCATCACTTCTTGATTTTGTAGCTTGAAACTGATATGTTGTTTCTTCTCATTTCGAGATTCGAATTTGAAATTGATTTTTTGTTTTCCTTCTTTTCCTTTTCATATCCAAATTTATCAAGCTTTATTTGTTTTCATCTCCTTTTTCAATTCTCTTTCAATTTTTCTTTCACCTTTTTGTTCTTTTAAATTTTTATTTTCTTTTACATTAAGTTAATATTATTTTACATTCATGTCAATCATTTTTTTTAATCCTAGAAATTAGTTTTATGATTTGAATTCTAAATTTCCATTATCGTTGTTACCTTATGACATTAAAATTAAAATATTACTTTGGCAAATAAAATACTAATCATGCCATGTTTTTCTACCTGGAAATAATATTTTGACATTTAGTGTCATGTGTATGGCACTAACTCCGTAAAGATGACAAAAATAATATCAATAATGCCATGTTTTTTCAAATACAAAAATGTCATCATTTGTATGACACTAACTCCGTAAAGATGGCAATATTATTTCCTTGCAAATCTATTATTTATAATGTCATGAAAATTTCAAAATGACACTAAATTTCATATCTCTATATTTAATGTCAAAATGACACTAAATCTATTATTTGTATGTTTCCAGATCTCAAATCAGTGGTTTTGGAGCCAAAGGTGGTGGCGGTGCTACAAGAGGTGTGCCGCCAAACAAAGGATTAGCGGCAAGGGATTCAGTGGCAGATGAGGTGGTGCGACAGTAACAACCGTGACTAACGGCGGAAGCATCTGGCAACTGTGACGCCGCCGCCGCCGGCAACGATGGAGTTTTCAATTTCTGCGGCATACGACGGTGACTGGCGGCTGCCGGCGGCTGCCGGTGGTGGCTACCGGCGGCTGCCGGTGGTGGCTACCGGCGGCTTCCGGTGGCGGTTACCGACGGCTGTTGGCGGAGACATTGGTGGAGGCTGGTGCTGGGTGATGGGGTGGATGTGAGAGAAACGAACAAACCATGATTGCTTTAGTTTATGCCGTATTTATATTTTTAATATATTAATTAGATGTATTCATTTAGGGTACTTTTGTCAATCTATTAATTTTTACTCCTACGAAACTATACGAATAAGTGAGCTCCTAGTTTTGCACTTTAGTTATGTTTCACTCCTATATAGAGAATTAACTCAAAAAATATTGCTAAACTTGTCTCATTGTAAATTTTCATAATCTATTTTTTTTTTAATTTTTTACTAATACAAAATCATTTATATTAATGGTCAAAGTTGTGTCTCGAGAAGTGTGAAATGTTGACCGTTACATTTATTTAAGAACGGAGGAAGTATTAATTAACATAACTTTATTTATAATAAAAATGAAAAAAATTAAAAACACGAAATAAATATTATTTTAAATTAATAAAAATGAAAAAAAATCAAAAAATAAAATTTATAAATAAAAAACTTAAAAATAATAATAAAATAAATGCCAACATGTGTCCAAAATGCCATCTTGATGGCAGTTTTTGAGAAAAAATTTGGCATTTTCAAGAGTAAAAATGTCATCTTCATGACATTTTCAGAAAAAATGACAGTTTTTAAACGAAGTGACATTTTTAGCCGATCAGAGATAAAGTTGTTGGGCAATAGCCGAGACTGTGAGAAAGGCCTCCATATTTTTTATATTTTAAAGGTGTTTTATCTAATTTTTATTTATTTTTAATTTTTATGATTTTCGTATTTTATAAAAATGTTTTAGAATTTTTATATTTTCTTACGATTTATTGTATAAGTTAAATTATTTTTTATTATTTTTAGTATTTATTATAAATTAAAATATGAGTATTCTATTAAGTTGTGATAAAGGTAGAATATAAAGATAGAGTATATTTTAAGAGGTATTGACCTAAATAAGACTAAATCAGTTTTTAATTGACAAAATATGACCAAATTTTACAAATTCCCCAAATAAGAGTTATTATTTGCAATTAGACAAAATTAACCCCAAGCTTGGAAGTCATACTCCCACAGACCACAACACTGGACCACAACCATTCGCCGGTCGCCACCATTCACCGTCGGTCGCTGGACATCGTCGAAAACCTCAAAAATTGGCCATCGTTGTAGATCTGCTAGCTGCCGTTGCAGATCTGGCGGCCGCCGCCGAAGATCTGGCCAGATTTAGCCTCCGCCGGCCGCTGTTCCTTCAGATCTAGTCACCTTCGCAACTACTCCGGCATCCGCCGTTACAAAGCTGACCTCCACAGTTGCAGATCTACCCGTTTTCGGCGTAAATGCCAAAATTTCTATCAGAATGCCATCTTAAAGGCATTTTCAAATAAAAATACAAAAATTTTTAAGACTAAAAATGTCATTTTGATGGCATTTTCAGACTTAACTTGGCATTTTGTAATCAAAGAAGAAAAATCAGAGAAGAGAAGCAGATCTACGGAGAAGAAAAGTTCATCTCCAACGACAGCATCGGCGGTGGCCTTCACGACGGCGGCAGTAGCGGCGGTAGCCTTCATGACGGAGGTAGCAGCGGTGATGGCCTTCGCGACTGCGGCAGCGATGCCTATGAGTGAGCTTGTAGGTTCATTGTGGGGGAAAGAGGAGAAGAGTGATGCGCTGGGGATCAGATCGATGTGTGCGCAGGCAGGATAAAATATAGGGAAGAAAATAAGGGTGGAACGGTAATTTAGTCCTATTTCAGAAATAAATATATGCATAATCCTATTTAAGAATTTCAGGAACAATTTAATCCTATTTGGAGCAATATTTCATATTTTAATCCTATTTAGAGAATTATGGATTAACCTTTTGGATGAACTTATTTATAGAAAATTGAGGGATTGTCACCTTCTAAAGTCACAAGAGAGAGAGTGTGTGTGACTATGTGCTCTGTTGCTGGGCAGTGGTTACTGTTACCCTCTCCGATTCTCCATCACAGCATCTCTCAGCCCATCCTTACAGCTAAAGGTTCCAGCTTTGATTTCTATGAACTGAAATGAGCTCCCACACTGCTTCGCCGATCGATTCTAACAACAGTTTAGGTAGTAAAGAATCAATTTTGTGGGTTTTCTTTTGCTTATCTGTTTATTTTTTTGAATAAAATAAACCAATCGACTGCAGTATACGTTATGAGGTTTATTGATCGAACAAATCAGTTCAACGCACTGTGCGATGCCCTGAGTGCTGTCCAGTGTATCTGTGTTTGATTCTTGAATTATTTATCTAAAATTCGCTGTTGATTTGTCGGTCGCGTTTTATGTCAACCGCATTCAGAAATTCTTTGCTGCATCTGCTAGATGAAATCCTTTTTCTGTCTAACCACACTAGACGAAAAAGATGGTTGTTTGGAGTTCGATTTGGGGTTGTCATGGTTGACTAAGATATCTACAGTTGAACTTGCACAGCAGGATGAGTTTATGCATCTAGACAGTGTTAGTCTTTTAATTTGGTCAGGCAGATGCATCTTTTTAAGTTTTAGTTGATTAATCAGAGCGTAATTTTACTGACAGAATTGAGTAATGATGTGTGCGTGCATACATTTTGTGATATTTGAGTTGTTTGCGAAGAGAATTAATTGCTTAAGTTGAATGATGAGGAAGTTCATCTATTCTTAGCCAAGTCACATTGAAAGTGCCTGCTAGTAGTTTAAAAGTTAGTAATATTAATGAAAAAGTCAGTACGGACTTTGCAGCAGTGATGCTTTGATCTCATAATTCTTGGCTGTACTCTACTCCAATGATATTGTTAAATATGAGTTGATTAGTCAGCTTTATTAAGTTTTGACTTTTGACCAACTTAACAGTGTTGTAATTTTATGAAATATTTAATCTGTTGATAGTTGGTCACATAGAAACAGTTAAGACTTTAGATTTTAGAATGCATAGTGGTGTCCATAGATTTTTTTATATAACTTAAAATAGGTTTTGCAATTTAGTGATATATGATACTCAGTATGTCTTGTGCAATTCAATCAATCCTTGGGTGAGTAAATTCAGTTGCCATTGTGCAGACTCAATAGAAGCACCTCTAGTTAGCCTATTCATTGAGAAAGTTACTCGATCCTCATCATCTCATTATTATTCTCTGTGATGCTCAATGCATACAGGTGCCATGATGCTACTTATTATCTTTATCATCATATTATTTTGGCCTCTCATGCAGCTATCACATCTTTGTAAAGTGATTTCTCTGCGATGTCATCAAGCTCTTAACTGTATGTCTGCTGGAACAATCTATCAGCTTGGTGCCTCAAATGATTTGCAATAGATCTATGCTTGTCAAGTGCCAAAATGGGCGGGATTCATCTAAAATTTGGCCAGCCATTGATTTTATACAACCTGCTACTTCTACTCTGCATTTTGGTAGAAGTTCATCCTCTCAGTCTTGATGGTAAGGTCCCCCCCCCCCCCCCCCCCCACACACACACACTGATTCTCTTCCGTATTGGTTTCATGTATCCTAAAGATTAACCTCCATAGAACTACCCCCTCTGTCCCGATGTGTAACTCTAGGCAAACATGTTAAATCATAGAAGGGTAATTTGGAAATTGAAAAAGGTTAGTGGAGCTCAAAAAAGGGAAGTTGACATAGTTTTGGGCAAACCAAAAGGGAAATCAACGGGGAAGGAGTATAAGGCATAACATTTGGAATGTGGAGGCTGAGACAATGAGTATGGATAAAAATAAGTTCAAGTTCAGTTACATGTGCACTTTCTCTATCTCAAAATAAACTTCTCATTTTCTTTTGGCTCAAAGCTATTGATATCTATAATGATAATAAAAACGGTGGGGTCTGGGGAAAAGTTAATAATGGAAAACTTTTCCTTCTTTGAAAATGTGATTTTTTTTTGGGATAACTGGAATATGAAAGTGAGAGGTTTATTTTTGACGGAGAGAGTATTATACAAAAACAAGTCTTGAGTAATTTATACATGTAGTCATGTACAAAGTCCTAGGAGTTCGTACATGGATTTCCCCATTAAATATCTCCTACTTCTCGGTTTGTTGTTATTTTCCATACTAATAATATGTATGGAATAGGGATCATATGGATATACTGGTCACCTCTAAGGGAAACTATCAGCTGTCTCTTTTCAGCTTCTTTGGATTAAGATACTGCTTCTTATAAACACTATACCATTACTTCATGGCAACTTAATGCAGAAACCACATGTGTTGCAGGTCAAGCACTTGTTAACTTTAGAATGGCAATAATTAGTTCAGATGATGTTCTTCTCCAGTGGAGACCTGAAGAATCTGATCCATGTGGGTGGAAAGGAGTACAATGTGACCCAAAATCAAAGCGAGTTACGTCCTTGTGAGTTTTTTTTGTATTCTAAAGATATTTTAATCATTTCACATCATGTAATTTAGTTTTGGACTTCTATTGTCATCTATGTATAAGAAATAAGAAGTACGAAGCATAATGTGTGCTCCTGTCCATGTTAGTTTGGTTCAAGTTAATGTTGAAGAAATTTCCGTGTCTAAGGTGCCCATGTGCCATATCCTATAAAACTAATATGACGAGACCATGATATACTACATATGAAATAAAGAAGATGCCTTATATGTGAGTAGAACATGGGTGTTTCACCAAAACAGGAGTAATATGTTTTGTCCCTAAATCGGAGGAAATATTGTCGTCCTGAAACGATGTCGTAATATGGCAGTATTATGTAAGTATGGCCATATATGGTTTCAGTACTTTACTCCTATATATGGATCAGGGAAAAATACACAATACTCCTATTTAGGGAAAACACCTGTGCTTTATTTCTACTCAGGGAAATCTCCTATAATAGACCTAGTTCAAATCACTACCTAATCAACAGATTATATGTATAAAAGATTACAGTAGATTATTAAATCTTAAGCCTAGAACCTCTATAAAAGAAGCAAAAATAATGTGAAGTTTCATCATTAAAATTGTCTATGGGCTCCTTGGAAGACCATATTCTCAATTTAAGAGTACAGACCAGCAATTTTTTAGATTTAAAAGCATTTTAATTTATTTCTATTGGACAAAGAAATTTCAATTTCAAACTGCTAATGTAGTCTGTTATCTACTAATAGGAGTCTCTCTAATCACAAGTTGAGTGGCCCTATATCACCAGATATTGGAAAACTAGAACAGCTGCAATTCATGTATGAATCCCTACGTCTGTTCTTTTTTATGCGTGAAGCTGGTGATAATTTAGTAACAGGGATACAAAACATTGTATTAGCAGATCACTTCATCATAACAACTTTTACGGGGAAATACCTCCTCAGCTAGGAAACTGCACAAAGCTCAAGTCCTTGTAAGTATCCTTTGTATTTCAATGATTTAAATCAGACAAAACTTTCTTTTTGGTCACAGATTAGAGTCAGTAATCCCTTTTATGTTCAACAAGAATGATCAGTTTATGTAACTATGCTTCTGCTTAATGTACTTGCTCAGTTTACGACACTCTACATTCTTAATCTCTCTTTAGGACAGGTTTTTTCAGGGTAATTATTTGAGTGGACGGATTCCTGATCAACTAGGAAACCTTCATGATCTTGAAAATATGTAAGGCACTTTTTCCTGTGTCAGTTTCTTGGTAATATAATTAGTTTATGTATGCTGGTTTAGCATCCATGTTTAGGAGCTTTTCACAAATTGTGGCCTTCCTATCTGCACAAGTTACCTGGTTTCAAGAGATGGTTAATGTTTTGTTTTCATTTACTTTTTAAAATTTTAGATCAGTATCAAGTTCTTCATTGTTGACGTTGTTGAGGGTTTGATAAATATTTCTATTCGTCAATTATTTTTTTTAGTTTTTGACACGCATTGTCACTTATTATCAAAGGTTTTACATGTGTGTTGGTCCTCCTATTATTACTTTTGATTATGCTCTTGATTTGGCATTCCAAAAAACGGGCATTGGCTATTTCTATATTTAATGTATATTTGTGTAAGAAGGGGAGCCTTGGGGCACTGGTTACGGTATTGCTGTGTGACCGATAGGTCACGGGTTCAAGCCTTGGGAGCGGCCTCTTGTCAAAATGACAAGGGAAGGCTAGCTCCTTCTACACCCTTGTGGTGGGACCCTTCCCCAGGCCCTCACTTTGCAGGGACACCAATGTGCACCAGGTTCCCTTTAATGTAAGTTTGTGTAAATATATCTGTGGACTAACCCACTGAAATGTGAAAAACTGTGAGTGCATGACTCAACATGTACCATTTAACAGAAAAGCATGAGAAAATTTGACTGTAGCCCTCCAGTTATCCAATAGATGCCATATAGGGATCTCTCGTAAGTGATTATAATATTTATTGTGTAGGGATCTCTCTAGTAACTCGCTGAGTGGAAACATGCCACAATCATTCGGGAAGTTAGACAAGCTCATATCACTGTGAGTGTGTGACTTGACATTTACCAATTAACAGAAAAGCACGAGAAGTTCTGATTGTGTAGCCTGAGTCGTCAATTATCCAATAAATGCCATTTAGGGATCTCTTGTAAGTAATGGTAATTTTTTTGGACAGAAATGTGTCAAATAATTTTCTAATTGGGCAAATACCTTCTGATGGACGTCTTGCCAACTTTCCAAGTGATTCGTAAGTTATAAATCTTCTGCAGTAGCTGTTTTCTTATGTGGTGGATTGATATTTTTGTGAGAGCTCTCTTGGGCCTAGACTTGGTCCTAAACTATGGAGCGTCTCTTGGTTTATAGCACTAGTAAAAAATGTTAATATATTAGTGTATCTCAAATTCTCAATTATGCAATTCCATTTTAGAATCTATTTTTTTATTTCTCTTAATGGTTATGACCTCCCAAGGTATGCTAAACAGAGTTGGATATAATTTTGGCATTTATGGTGTTGGTATTGTTAAGCTCTCCTGTAAGTCTTATAGATGATTCTCACACCTGTGTGATCTCTCGGATGAGGGTAGAAAGGCGAGTTCCGATCTTCAGTTGGATTCACAGGGATGTTCCATGGACCATGATTTGTATTGTTTAGATTCACAGGATCCACTTATAAAAAATAGAAAAGGAAAAAACTGATCGATTTCTGGTTACAATGATACCATTTTAAATTCTTACACAATAGTTGTACAAAAACTGAAGTAGACTGGCTAGCAACACAATAGAGAGTAGTACAAAGAGAGTTCTAGCATTATGAAGAAGAGAGTTGATGCACTAAGTAACTACTCTATTAGAAGAAAGAAGGATGTTGCTGAATAAAGTATTTGCTGAAGCAGTTCTAAATTCACCTTTTATCTTCAATTTTGGTATCTCCAGATCTTTTTATCTCATTCCAATCCATTTGAATAATCTCGATTGATGTATGCATGCATTGCATGCATATATAATTGTTGTTGACCTGGATGCGATTTTTATCCAATCAAAATAAGGAAAACCTAGGTAATTGGACTAGGTAGAAAATGAAAGGTAGCCATTTTCCCCACATATAGTGCATCTTTAAGAAGCTTAAGTTTTGGTATTTTCAACTTATAAGACATGAGACATCGCATGCTCTACTATTTGCTAAATAAGAATTTGGTGACAGAAGATCTATCTTTATCTGCTGATCTGTTAATGTTTAATGGCAGCTTTCTTGGAAATCGTAAATTGTGCGGTCAGCAAATTAATTCGCCCTGCAATAATGGTTCTGAAGGTCCTGTGTCATTTTCTCAGGCTCCTATTTCTGGTAAATCTCCATAACTCCATTTTTGTTTTTTCCTACGCACATGTTATTGGCTCCATATTACATCTGTAAGGGTTGAAGATAGTTAAGCTGCTTGCCATCAGCAGAAAATGTTGGCTGTAGGTTATCTTCTGGTTATCTGGTTGATTATGACATTTTATACTATGGAGGATTATTATTTTTCTTTTTATCTCCAGCTGCTGTTTGCCTGTTCCCAATTGGAGGTGTACCTAAATGCTGTTTTAAGCAAGGAAACTAATCTATATCTTAGGAAATAGCATGAATGCCATTGGCTGAAAGACTTATGATCTCTGTATCTGCTAACTGTTATGCCATGCTAATTTTTTGACCTTGCATGTATATTTGATTTATGGCTGGTTTATAACTTTACATGTGTATGTAAATTATTCTGATATTCTGTTGTTATTATTGCCTTAAAAAAGTTTATCTAAACCAAAACTCTTTCAAGATGTCACTATCCTATGTCCAGTGTCCATTTTTTTAGTTTTATCCACAAGGATTACATGTTTCCTTGCATGGTAAATGTTGCAGTCTTAAAATCATCTTCTTTTTAAAGTTTTAAACGTAGCTTGATAGTATCTCATACTCAAGGGCGTAGCTAGGTCCCAACCCACCCCAAATTTTAAAAATGCTTCCATTTACACTAAAAAAATATATAAAAATTTATTTTCAAAAATTCTTTGCACCGGCCCAACCCAGTGTATCCTCCTGCCTATGCCACTACTCATACTAAATCATAGTATCCTCCGTTCTTTAAAAGTTGCAACAATTTGACTTTCACGTTTGCCAATGCACAACTTTGACTGTATTTATATTTAATCACGTATTAGTAAACATTAAAAAAAGTTAATATTTTGGAAATTTACATTAATAGAAATTTAATAATATTTTATACATAATATTTTGATTATATATATTATTAGAAAATTGTAGTCAAAGTAAGGTGTGTGAATAGTGCAAAAATCCCAACGTTGCATGTTTTAAAGAACGGTGGAAGTTTCTTACAGCCAAACTAAATCTTCTCCCTATTTCCAACCAAGCCAGTTTGAAAATAATAAACTGGGATCAAAGTAATAGTATTTCAATTGTGATATAGGCTTGAGCTTTATTTGTTGTGGTGTATTTTGTTACACTACTATTGGAAAAGTTCTCAACTCTAAGACTTTTTAGTCTAGCAGCTTGTCAGCTTTTTAGATGCATGTTCTCTCTCTCTCAATCGCTCTTGATCTATTTTCTCTTTCCTAGTAACCTTTAGTAACAGCTTACCATAATATCACAAAATATGTTGAATTTCAGGCCAAGATCAAAGTAAGAAAAAAGATTCTGCGAGAATGCTTATAAGTGCTATGGCCACAGTAGGTGCTTTGCTTTTGGTTGCACTAATGTGCTTCTGGGGCTGCTTTCTCTACAAGAGGCTGGGTAAAAATGATCACAGGGGCCTCTCAATGGATGTTGGTGCAGGTGTCTATCCATTCATTACCTTCACTTAATCAATGAATGTTTAGTTCATTTTATTATGGGATTTGCTCTGCAGTTTGTTTCGTTTTCCTTCGTTAAAATCCTCAAAAATTTTATCCTTCAGGTGCTTCGGTCGTCATGTTCCATGGGGATTTACCATACTCTTCGAGTGATATTATCAGAAAGTTGGAGACACTTAATGAAGAACACATAATTGGCTCTGGTGGATTTGGAACAGTATACAAGCTTGCAATGGATGATGGAAACATCTTTGCCTTGAAAAGGATCATCAAAATGAATGAGGGCTTTGATAGATTTTTTGAAAGGGAACTCGAAATTCTCGGAAGCATTAAACACAGACATCTGGTAAATCTGCGAGGGTATTGCAATTCTCCAACATCAAAGTTGTTAATATATGATTTCTTACCTGGAGGCAGCCTAGATGAAGCTCTCCATGGTAAGACACACTCTTCTTTACTACATCTTAATTGTACAATTGACACTTTATTTTACTGTAAAATCAGGTAAGAACAGATTGGTGTGTCACATAATGATGGTGTAGATAATAAGATATATTTGATGTTCTTAGAAATAGTCATCAGTCACCGTAGAGCCTGTTTGCTAGCCGATAGTGGATTACTGTGCTTATTAGATAAATAATCCAGATAATTAGATTATTAGAATAAGATTGTTTCGTATTAGTCGGCGAAAATGGATTTGACCAAAATACATTCCTCGGTCTTATTTAGCATCGTCAACCAAATAACTCATACCAAATAGTTCTTAGTCTTAACAATTAAGGGATTTATGACGATAAGCTGTTATCTTTGCCAGTATCTGTCATTATTTACTTCTGATTTATATTTCAATTTGTGATAGAACACACTAATTTTCTTTTCTTGATTGGCTACTTACGAGTTAGTTGTATCCTCTACAAAGTACAACTTTTGCTAGAAAAAACCCATTTTCCCATTTCTTGGATGAAACGTTGTAAAAAAGGAATTGTTTGGTTTCCTTGACAGAGAGATCTGAACAACTGGACTGGGATGCTCGAGTAATGATAATAACGGGAGCAGCAAAAGGGCTGGCATATTTGCATCATGATTGTTCACCTCGGATTATACACCGCGACATAAAGTCTAGCAACATCTTACTTGATGTTAACCTTGCTGCCTGTGTGTCCGACTTTGGATTGGCCAAATTACTTGGAGATGAGGAGTCTCACAAAACAACAATTGTAGCAGGCACATTTGGGTATCTAGCACCAGGTTGGAAATATGAAAGCACATTATTCTCGTTCTGTTTAGTGCAGTTTTGGCATATAGGATGGTACCATTCATATTCGTCTCAGTCATTGCCCTTCTTTTATGACCAGTTTGGGTGGATGGTTTTGGAAGGAAGGTGTTCTTTTTTTTCGGGGGGGGGGGGGGGGGGGGGGGTCCTACATCTCAGAACACACATTTGAAATTTTTAAAAACAGTTGGAAATAACATAATAAGTGATGAGATAACATTTGCATCACTCTTTATTTGTTTTTTAGAAGCATCATATTTATTTATCAAGATAAAGACTAAGCCCTCTAAACTCTTTCCCTCCAAACCCTGCATCCAAACAGACCCTTAGACTACATGGAATTTTAAAGGTAAGAAACTAAGAAACCATTTTTCCCATTTCACATTCACCCTGACTGAAGAATGTTAGTAGTCAGAGTCGAATTGTTCATTTTATTCTTAGAAGAAGAGAATATATCCCTACGGGGAAAATTAGAATCTGATTGATTTTGTTTCCAGGTAAAAGCACACCAAATATTTGAAAGCAACGACCTTTCCATCTACTTTCTCTTTACTTTCCATTTGAATTATATAATTTCTTTCCTGGGTTTCAAATATATGGTTCTGGAATGCACTGCATATATCTTTCGGTTCCGTTCTTCTGCAAGGCAGTAACATGGTTTTTTCTCGACTACCATCTCATGTCTTTTTATTTGGCAGAATATATGCAAAGTGGTAGAGCCACAGAAAAGACAGATGTGTATAGTTTTGGGGTTCTGGTACTTGAGATATTAAGTGGAAGTCGTCCAACCGATGCATCATTCATTGAGAAGGGCCTTAACATTGTTGGTTGGGTATGCCTTCTTCAGTTTTTTCAATTTTTTTTAATGTTTATATCTGAAGATTCCGACCTACACATAACACAGTTGGTCGTAAATACAACTTACCACCTTGCTTAATAGGTCACTTTTGCATATTGCAGTTAAATTTTCTGGTCACTGAGAACAGACCACAGGACATAGTGGATCCATCCTGTGAAGGCATGCAGGCAGAAAGCCTTGATGCCATGCTTTCAATTGCAATACAATGTGTGTCTTCAAACCCAGAGGATCGACCCACTATGCATAGGGTACTTCAGCTACTTGAATCTGAAGTCATGACACCATGTCCTAGTGACTTTTATGACTCTAGCTCTGATTGAAGCAGTAAGAATGCTTATAATCTCAGACAACTTCCAGGAGCTTCAGTTTTGGTTTCTGCCGTTTCGATCCTTGGAATGTGCGATCATGAGCGTTAAGTATGGATGGATCATCACTACACAAACACGCAATCAACTACCCTTCTGTGCAGCAGTTTTGCAACTTTTTTTTTCCCTTTTCAGGGTCTTGGTTTTATACTTTTGTTCCTCATGTGCGTTATTAGCCTTGTTGTTCCACGTGTATGCAAAGCTATCATCTGTATTATAACTCTCATACCTTTTTTTTATTACTTTTCCTTCCTTAATTTTTCTTAACTTATTGTTTCTAAATTGATTTGTATATTAAACTGAAATTTCCCTAAATTAGAGTAAAAACAATGTGGTTTACAAAACACGAATATTTGTTTTTCACTAAAATAGTTTGACAGCTTTTAGGAAATATTATTGGTTACGAGTCTTATGACATTATGACATTATTAGTTTCACATCTCTTGTGGGATTTAATTTAGTCCTATTTCGAAAAAACATAACATTTGTATTTAGAAAAATAACATTAGTTTCACTTTTATTTGTAGAAAGCTCTCTATATCAAATGATTGCACAATAGGCATGGATTCAGGGCTTCAGGCCGGGTCGGTGGGTTGGGCCAGGCCTAGGCCCGGTCAGGTCGCCGGTTTGTGAATGGTGGGCCCGGGAACAACCTGAGGTACAGGCGGTTCCGGCGGGTCGGGTCACCAGGCTGGGTCACGGGCTGGGCCACTTGTCGGGCCGGGCCGTGTCAGGCCTGTAAAATACATTTTTTTATATAATTTATACTTTATAGTTTTATACAAGTATTAAAAACAAACTTCAAGTGCATTTATTTGAAATGAAATAGAAACTACATTTGACAATTAAGAAAAAAATACAATATGAAATACATTTTGTAATCAATTGGAACTTCCCGGACCTTCCTGTCACACTTTTTTCCGCGTGAAACCTCCCTGTTATACTCTTTTCCGCACCATTTGCAAGTTGTATACCAGATCTCGGTCTTCGGGTCCTTCTGTGTATCAAAATTATACCGTATAATGGCATATTGACTTTCCATCTTAAAAATGGTAGATATAATAATTCTACAAATACTAAAAGTCTAGAATAGTAGAATAGATGGAGATGAAGATGGAGAATGTAGATTGGATATTGAAGAAGAATTTAGGGGTGGACTCGGGTCCGGGTCGGGTCCGGGTTGGGCCTAGGCCTGGGCGGGCCGGCAGTTCAGGAATTGTGGACCCGGGAGTTCGGGACTGGCCCGGGTAGCCACCGGGTCCGGTCTGGGTCCGGGCCGGACCGGCGGTTCAGGAATTGTGGACCCGGGAGTTCGGGACTGGCCCGGGTAGCCACCGGGTCCGGGCCAGGCCAGGCCTCCGATTGAGTTTTTTTTTGCTTTCCTAACACCCCCCTCACGGCCTCACCCCCACCCCCCCAAACCCCTCCTAACCATCAACCCCAACCCGGCTATAACCCCAAAAAATGAAAAAAAAAATCAATTTGGCCCGGACCCGGGCCGGTTCGCCAAGTGAGACCCGAGCCCGGACCCGCACTACCCACCGGGCCTAGGCCCGACCCAGACCCGAGAACCGGGCCGGTCCCGATCCCGCACAGTAGCGGGCCGGTCCCGGTCCCGCACAATAGCGGGCAGGGCCGGTCCACGGGCCGGGTGGCCCGACCCGAGTCCAACCATAGAGAAGATGTGTATAAAAATGTTAGAAAATAGGAGTATTTATAGAAATTTTTGTACCCCACCACCCACCCCATCCCCACCCCCAATGGCTCTATTGATTCAAATTTCAAACAACCAAAGTGCCCAAGTCCCAACGGCTACATAGCCGTTTGGGGCCTTTGATTTATTTTTATTTTTGTTTATTTTAGTTTGACTAAATTACATAATGTAAAATTAATTAATTAATTTTATGAATTCAGTAAAAAATGCTACATATAAAAAAATGAACGTATATTTATTTGAAATATGAACTACAAGTTTACAAGTTACAATTGAAGGTAAATTTAAAACATGAAATAGTGAAATACTAATCAATCGGAATCTCCGTAATAGGTAGAGCCACTCTCGGTTGTAGATTCATCCATAAAGTGTTGGGATTGGGTGATGTCAATTTCTTGAGCTCTAGGGCCGCCTTCAACCAATCGTTGTAGCATATAAGCATCTCAAGAGATTTTGCGCTCAACCTCGTTCTACATTGCGTTAGGACATTGCCGGTCGAACTAAATTCTTGTTCGACTGCAACTGTTGAAACCGACATTGATAGAACTTGCTTAGCCATCTTTGCTAAAACCGGGAACATTCTTTCTTTTCCCTTCCACCAGTTTAGAACGTCAAAGTCATCATCTTCTTCAAAATCAACATCATATGTTAAATACAAAGAAATCTCATTAATTGTGCTCTGTTGAGTAGCAAGTGTTGTTTTAGTTTTTTTTAATAAATAAGATTGACAAATGTAGATTTCAAAATTGATTTTCCTTTAGATGAAGAGGTTTGTGTTGGGGGAGGGGGCGCGTTACCATATTGTGCATGAAACTCATTAAATAATGCATAAAATATATCACTAACCTCGTTGTATTCTTTTTTCGGATCAATTGAGTTCTCGTCATACATTGGCATTGGATAAAAAAAAGCAGCATAATTATAATTCTAACATTCTTCTAAAGAACCAAATCTAAAACGAGGATCGAGAACAAATGCAATACCATAAATATGCGGAATATGTGAATAATATTTTAAAAACTTTTTCTTCATAAAACCAACAAAATAACTCACATAATCGGCATTCTCAAAATTTGATTGACAAACTTTCTGTGTTTACTCTTTGTTTTTTCAGTTTCGCCATTATTGAAGCAATTCCATTTAAGTTAGTATTAGAGTTTTATTTGGATGTGCTTACTATGTTGTTTTTGAATGAAATGAGCTTGTGCTGATTTCATCAAAATATGTTTTTTACTTTTTCATAAGAGTAATATGATATCCACGATCATTTTTTCGTACTTACCAGTTGACATTCGATGTTAGTTGATACGGAGTAACATGGATGAAAGCACGCTGCTTCTCTGGCATATCCACGTGTCTTCCTGTTTTTCAAAAGATAAAAGAAAACCAGCAATGAACAAAGCAACTCTTGCGTATATATACTGATAAATACAAGCCAATGGTTGAGAGCAATGGAGACGTGTTGTACATGGCAAGCTCTAGCGGTATCCCCTGATCTCAGCCAACCTGTTCAGAAATTTTCGGAGAAGAAAACACCAGAGATTACCGCACGGTTGATAGAAGTGAGAAAACACAAACTACTACACTACATGTCATTGCTGATTTGCTATATACTTCATTACAATAGAAGTAGGGCTTTATGCTGCTGTCTCTCTAATAACACAGGTACGCTGCCTATTCTGATCATTCCATCATCTTTCTTCGCATTTAGTGTTTCTTCTCTGTTTGTAAATAACTTTAACGTGTACAAAGCATATAAGGTGTTCCATGTAATGTTTATATGAGAAATACATATAGTTCTTGCGATTCAGCTTGATACTTTTAGTTTTTTTTTTAATTTAGATGATAACGTCTTCTATCAGCCTTCGACTTTCCTGGAAGCGAGAAAAAAAAATTATAAGAAATTCAATGTAATTGGTTTCATACTACCTCTTGCAACTTTTATTTCAGGATAATGAGAAGTGCATATTTGCTAATATCAATACAGATTGATAGGTTAAGTTTTAAATGTCTATAGTTTTAAAGGCATTTTATTACTTTCAGACGATCAATGTATTTGGTTTCACCCTACCTCTTATAGTCTTATGAGAGTCATAAGAAAGAAAATAATTATAAGATTTAAGTCTTAATTTCCAATAGACATAGTTAAAAGAGGTGACACCATATCTTAAATGAAGTGGTGACGAATGATTGAAGTTTTAGATGCAAATTTTACAGAAATGTGTCTAAAGCAAAAAATGCATGATAAAATCAGAGCCTTCTACTTAAGATTGATGTGGAAATATTTATATCTAAAACTTGCTTGGTACCTAGAGCATTAATATCATATGATAGTAGACATGTACCTTTATTATAATGCAAAATATTTTTAAAAATATTGATCCAATAAAAAGAAATAACAAAATAAGAAGTGCAGTCTTTAATGCACAACATAATGCAAGGTCAAGGCGGAAGTTAATTTTCATTACTTCCATAAAGCACTTCGATGCATAAAAGAATCATAACACCCTCAATAAAAGTATCTTTATTATATGTATAAGTGCAGTCTTGAGGCAGTCATAACTTCACTTCTGAGGTCATTATAGCACTTCACTTCTTTAAAAATAATTAATTGACATGAAAATTGGTTGGATCACATTTCTAAATAATCATCAAATGCACTTTAATGATTTTAGCCCACACAACGAGCTTGATCATATAAAACTACTACATAAGGCAACCGTCCACTTTTCACGCTTGCCAATGCACAAGTTTGATCATTAATATCTTTCGTTCCTTATTAATATAGTCAAAGTAGAACATGTGAATAGTGAAAAAGTTCAATGTTACAATTAAAAAAAAGGAGGTAGCAGATAATATCCCTTTCCTTAACATCACTGCTCTTTCCAAAAAAATCCATTTTTTGTCACCCTGCTAGCGGTGCTAGACTGCTGGTAGCCTTTTCTCATCCTCCCTAGTCTCGCTTCCACGGTTCCACACTTCCACCAGTCCTCTACAGCTCTATCCTGTTTCTAGCAACTATTCTTGATTTGGACTAGCGTTAGCCGTTAAGTATCCCTCTTTATGAGTAGCTTCTGCCGTAGCCGCTCATTTAGCAGACTGGTAAGCTACTATTCTTCGCTTCTTCCGATTTCTTTCATTCATTTTCATGAATGACATTTATTTTTATTCTTCCATTCTTCTACTTTTGACTTTTCTATTGAGTTAGCGGGATACACAGTGTGCTTTTCGCTATTAGGGTTGCATTTTTCCTAAATAGTTGTCCCCTGATGGAAACCTATACTTTTATATGGTTTGTTATTGGTTTAGTTTGTGGATTAAAACATCATTTCTCACAATTATATGCGATTACCTTGTTAGAAAATTTTAGATTATTTCCCTCCAACCAATTGGCATGAGTGCTTTTTTCTTTCTTTCTAGACATAGAGCACCGCACAACATTTAGTCAATACTAATATTTATTTTTCATAAATAGTTTTTTGAAGAATGCACTTAACTCAATAGCTGTGGTTGATAGCTCTGATCTTCGAATGTTCTGTATGACCTGACTGCATTATTAGCAAAATATTTACTCAAATACTACACAACACTACAGCAGGGTTCAAACCCCAATTCAGTCAGTTTCGCTTCGTCAGTTTCATCAATGAACAGGTTAGTTCTCTGAATTTTTATATCTTTGGAAGTTAATTATTATTTCTGTTTTCTCGTTATGTGAGAATTAGAAGTATCAGCATAAATAACATTTAAGATAGAAGCCATAAAACACATGAATTTGGTTAAGAGGATGTATGAATAAAGGAGATAGTTGATGCTAATTGAGAGCATGGGCAATTGGCAGTTGGCACTATTTTTTTCAACATAAAAGAAATCCAAACTAGTAGAACAAACAACAGAAGTAGAAAACAGGAAAATATCTCTGTTAGTAAACATGCCCTTAACGTTTCAACTTTTCTGTTTTTCTTTCTTTCTGCTTAAGCACTTGAGATTTAAGATTTCTGTTTTTCTTTCCTGGCTTAGCACTTAAAAGTTAATAGTATTGTGGGTTCTTATTTTAGTACACCCAGAGTACTTTGTTTGCTTTGTGTTTGTTAATTACGATGTCCACAATTATATCCTGTACTAGGACATAACTGTTGAGTATCCTGAACTTTTGTATGTTATTAATTGAAAATTATCTCGTAGATCCATTTCGTATCCAATTTTTTTAATATGTGTTGAATTTTCATTTCTGATGACCTTGCTTTCAATGGCACAGATGGAATGTGAATTCTTTTCAGTACAGATGCTTAAATCTCGCTGGACTTCAAGACGGTCCGTTAAGGCCTTTTCACCCACACCCCAAATGCGTCTGATAAGATGCCTCTATGATCCTAAGCATTATTTTCCATCCATTGAATGTTTTGCTTGCTCCTACACTACTCTTCATGCTTCGGAAACAGAAACCACCCGAAAGAGTTTGCCATTTAAAGATTTGAAAATTCTGAAATTGCAAGCCCCCAGCACGTTTAGGAGTTCTACCGGAAAAATGTGCTCGGGAAATAGTGTGTTTGTGCCATTGGGAGTTCATGTGGACCAAGGAACTCAAGGTATTAAAAAGGTTAGTGAAAGTAGAATGAGAGTGCTGAACTGGTATTCAGAAGTGTTCCGAGGTTATGCAGAAAAGATGTTCTTAAAAGAAGGAAAAGTGCTTCATGGGGAGCTGGTTAGAAATTTAATTGACCTAGATGCACATGTGCTTGTTTCCTTGATCAATTTTTATGCGAAATGTGGAGATCTGAATTCTGCACGCAAAGTGTTCGATCAGATGCCTGTGAAGGATGTTGTATCATGGACAGCACTAATCTCTGGATATCTACCTGAACGTAATCATATTCAAATTGTTAGGTTATTTTGTGAGATGCGGACGGAAGGTGTAATCCCTAATGGGTTTACATTGTCCACAGTTCTGAAGGGTTGTTCTATGTGCTTGAATTTAGAGATTGGGAAACAGTTGCATGCTAATGTAGTAAAACTTGTCAACTCAGATGTTTATTGTAGTTCTGCGCTTATTGATTTCTATGCTAAATGTCATGAGATAGAAGATGCGAAAAAAGTATTCCTTCATATGCCAGAACCAAATTTAGTGTCTTGGAATGCTTTGCTTAATGGGTATGCACAAGAAGGCGATGGGAAAGAGGTCTTAAGATTGTTTTGTTGTTTGTCTGAGTCAGAATTCAGGTTAAACAATTACACATTAAGCACTGTTCTAAAGAGTTGTGCTAACGAGGGCAATTTGGGAGCTGGCCAAGTAGTTCATTCAGTGGCAATAAAGATTGGAAGTGAACTTGATGACTATATAAGCACTAGTCTAGTAGATATGTATTCCAAGTGCCGACTACCTGAGGATTCTCTTAAAGTATTTAAGAGAATAAGAAGTCCTGATGTTGTCTCGTGGAGTACAATGATATGTAGTCTTGATCAACATGGATATAAAAAAGAAGCAGTCTCTGTTTTTCAAATGATGATGCATTCTGGCATGAGACCTAATCAGTTTACTCTTGCAAGTGTGATTAGTGCATCTGCTGATTTAGGTGATCTGTTTTTTTGCAAAAGCATCCATGCTTGTGTTTTGAAATTTCGACTTGACTCTGAGAATTTGGTGAGCAACACTCTTATCTCAATGTACATGAATTTTGGATTAAATAATGATGGCTACAAAGTTTTTTGCTCTATGAATTCAAGGGATGTTATTACTTGGAATGGGCTTTTATTGGGATTTCACGCTGATGAAACATCACATGAGGGGCTGAAGATTTTCAGTCAGATGCTTATTGAGGGATTCAAGCCAAATCTGTACACATTTATAAGCATTCTGAGGTCTTGTTCCAGCCTGTCAAACATTGGTTTTGGGAAACAAGTACATGCTCATGTGATTAAGGAGAACTTGAGCGGAGATTGCTATGTAGGAACTGCTCTGATTGACATGTATTCTAAATGTGGGTACCTGAATGATGTTGAAGTTATTTTCGCTAGGTTGACTCAGAAAGACGTATTCACATGGACGGTGATGACTTCAGGCTATGCACAAAGTGATCAAGGAGAAAAGGCCTTTGAATGCTTAAGTCAGATGTTGAAGGAAGATGTCAAGCCAAATGAATTTACTCTTGCAAGCTGTGTGAGTGGCTGTTCACGTATAGCAAGCCTTAGTAATGGAAGGCAGCTGCATTGCTTAGCAGTTAAATCTGGGCATTTCAGTGACTTGTTTGTGGCCAGTGCATTGGCTGATATGTATGGTAAATGTGGGTGCATTGCTGATGCTGAGACTCTGTTTGAGGGCATTGAGTCATATGATACTGTGTTGTGGAACACAATTATATGCTCATACTCTCAGCATGGGATGGGCAAAAAAGCCCTACAAGCTTTCAGGAGGATGTTGGATGAAGGTATTTTGCCTGATGCAACTACTTTCATTGGCGTTCTTTCTGCATGTAGCCACTTGGGCTTGGTTGATGATGGGAGAAAACACTTTGAGTCAATAACCAACACATATGGAATCATTCCTTCTCCCGAGCATTATGCTTGTATGGTTGATATCCTTGGTCGAGCCGGAAGATTTGATGAGGTGGAAAAGTTCATTCAGCACATGGAGCTGACACCAGATGCATTAATATGGGAAACTGTTCTTGGTGCTTGTATGATTCATGGAAATGTTGAATTGGGAGAAATGGCAGCGAAGTTTTTATTTGAACATGAACCTAAAGTGGATTCGAGTTACATATTGCTGTCCAATATATATGCCGCAAAGGGGAGGTGGAAGGATGTGGCCAAGATGAGAGAGTTTATGTCCGATCAGGGGGTTAAAAAGGAACCTGGCTGTAGCTGGGTTGAAGTTGACACTCAAATCCATGTCTTTCTATCTCAGGATGCCTCACATCCAAGAATAAGCGATATACATGCAAAACTGGATGAGCTCTGTTTACAACTTAATTCAGCAGGCTATATTCCAAACAAGGATCATTCACTTCATAATGTACAAGATCAGGAAAAAAGAGTAAACCTCCTTCATCATAGTGAAAGGCTGGCTCTAGCTTTTGCACTCATAAGTAATACTACAAACCATACCATAATAATCTTCAAAAATCTTCGGATATGTGGAGATTGCCATCAATTCATGAAGTTGTCGTCATTAATAACGCATCGAAAAATAGTTATTCGCGATGTTAATCATTTTCACCACTTCTGTGATGGAACGTGTTCCTGTAATGATTATTGGTGACATGATCTTGACCAGCTAGCCTATTGTTCTCATCTCTACCAGGCTTCATTGATATTATTATTCCTAGATCATGAACTAAATATCCCGAGACTACTATTTACATTCAACTCACTATTGGGTATGTATTCCAACTCTATCATCATATTATTACAAGTATAATCTCTATAAGAAGTTCATTTGAAATGCCCATGTTACAGGTATAGCGCTTCTTAACTTTGGAAGTGCAATGTTTAGTTCAGATGATTTTCTTCGCCAGTAGAGATCCAAAGATCTTGATCCAGTGCGAATAGCTGATTGATGAGGTTTGTTGGTCATGATTGCCTTGGATGAGAAGAACTTCAATATTGGACATGATTGTTGCTTATATTCTTAAATTTCAAGATTAAGTAATAAATGTGATGGGACCATGCCATATAAAATACCTGATCCAAATCACTACCTAATCAATGAATATACATATGCATGTAGGTATATATATGCATTTGTATGTTTATATACTATTGCCATTAATATGTCTAGCACCTCTATAAACAAGAAACAAATTAAGAGAAGCACAGAAAAGCAAAAAACATGCAAAGTTGCCCTCCCAATGAAGATATGTGGTACAGAAAACTAGAAAAGCACCCAAATTAATGTTTTCTCTAGGATTCGTCTCTCCTTTTCAATGCATAATGTCACAATATTAGCTCTTTGGCATTCCCTGATCTGGGATAAACTGCTCAAGTGTGTTAAACAATACATGAGTGCATACAAACTCTAATTGCATGAGTTTTAACGTAAAATATTCCTTATTACATGGTAATTTATGGGTGATACATTTATCCTTGAAAAAGCAAAGTTTTTACTCCATATTACATAGTTATATTATATTCTTCACTCAATTCATTTTCATATATTTGATAAATAAAATTCTAGCTGACTATATGATTGTTGATACTTCACTTTTAACATTGTAACTTATTGGCTCTGTGTTCCTTTCCCGTTTGGTACAATATACATTTCTCTTACCGTCAACTGAAGATAACAGACCAACAATCTTTAAATTTATAATCTACTTTTAGAAATAATTAATTTGTGCATGTCATCCGGCAAGGTTGGGTACTGAAGTAATTCCATCTCAAATTTTAATTTATTTTCTCGCTCCGATACTTCATAAATTCTGGTCCATCAGCAGATTTCTATCATCCCCTGAACTGTTCAGTCCCTGGACGAGGTCGCAGATATGCGTTCGTAACACAACTTTATTGGGAATACCTTTTCAGCTGGGAAACTCTACAATGCTGAAGTCCTTGTAAGTCTCCTTTAGAGTCAACCGTCCATTTTATTTTCAATAGAAGGATCTTTGAAAGTTTTCTTCCAGTTTTGCCTAACTCTAATGGTCAATAATCACTCCTTAGTGGACCTTAGTTATGTATAAAGGATTATTCTGCTTTATGTATTTGTTCAGTTAAGACACTCCTCATTCTTCTTTTTTGACAAGTTTTTGCAGGGTAATTATTTGAGTGGACACAACACATTCCTGATGGAGTAGGAAACCTTCTTGATCTTGGAAACATGTAAGATTCTTTTCCCCATGTCAGTTTCTTGGTACTTTCATCAGTTTATGTTCACCTATGCTGGATTTAACAATTAGCATCCACGTTTTGGAGACTTTAACAAACTGTGTCCTTCTTGGGACAAGGATACCTAGTATCAACAAAAGATTTATCTTCCTTTTTTCTTTTAACTTTTTAAAAAGAGATTGGTATCAACTATCAAGTGCTCCACTGCTCCAAACCAGATGTAAGTTTGAGGACGTCCTCATGTATCTTTCACCATTTAATGATAAGGTAAAAAATGGAAAATAAAGTCATAAAACATGATATTCCTATTTTTTTAATCTACTTGTTTAAAAAGTTGAAAATTATATCACCGAGTCTAACTATGAAACATATTTAACTTGTTCAAAAGAACCATACTGGAAATGTTAATTACTTTATATTAGATTCATAAAACCACCAATGTGTTATGAGCACTCATTAGTTTTTTTATTTCTTAAAACATACGAGTAGATAACAATGAAGGTCCAAACCCAAATTACCTGATGTGAAATGCTTTAAATATTTTTAGAATACAACAAGACTCACAAGAACGTAACTCGCTTTGATTTTGGGTCACATGGGTCAGACCGTCAGGTTCTTAGGGTCTCCACTGGAGAAGAACATCATCTAAGCTAAATATATGGCACTAATGGCAGTACTAAAGTTAACAAATGCTTGACTTGCAAGGCTTCAACACATCTGGTTTCTACATTAAGCTTCCATGAAGTAATGATATAGTGTTGATAATAAGCAGTGTTTTAATCCAAAGAAGTTGAAAAGAGACAGCCGAGAGTTTTCCTTACAGGTAACTAGTAATCCCTCAGTCTCAAATTGTAAGATACATTTACTATTCACTTGGTCAACATAAATCACTCTTAATCTTTTACTTTATATGTCAAAAGTTTATGAAATTTGAATTATTTTTTGCTGTTTTTGTAGCAGTTTTAGTATAGTTTCTGAATACGTAATTTTTATTTTCTATAACTAATTTGAGTGTTCACAGGGATCAATTTGCTTTATTATCGGTCAAACATCGTAAACCGTAAAGTATCTTACAAATTGGGACGGAGGGAGTATATCCTAATAATCCCTATTCAGTACGTTTATTACTAAGGGTATGTTTTCAAAAAATTAAAAAAATAGTGATTTTCAGCTTTTGGCTCAAAAAAGCTGAAAAGAGTGTTTCAAGCGACAACTTCTGCTTATATTAAACACCTAAAAGCTAGAAGCTAGAATCTGCTTTTTGCTTTTTCTATTACACAAAAAGCACATTTTTTACCAAACACTCACAACTTTTACTTTTCAAAATCAATATTTTCTCAAACACTAGCAACTTTTACTATTAAGCACTTTTTCCAAAATCACTTTAAAGAGTGATTTTTTTAAAGCAAAAGCGATTGCAAACACTCCCTAAGAAAAAAACAACAAACTGAGAAGAACCGTAGATATTTAATGGGGAAATCCATGTATGAACTCCTAAGAATTTGTATATTCTCACTGAGTACTCACAACTCTGGAGGTGGCCGTGCTGGTTAGCACTCTCACTCGGCCCATTCTGTTTTTTCAAGTTTCTTGCCGAGTAATCGGCAAGTTTGTAGGCAACCACTAAATGTGTTTTTTTGGGTTAAATCTGAAAAGTTTAAAATTCAGCGGAATATTATGGAATTTATAAATAATGAGTGGGTATTTTAAAAATTGGAAAAATAACATTACAAAGTTAGTCTAGGTTTAAAATTATTTCATGGATCGGCACATTCAAGTTAGATGATTGATTTTCTTGGAAACATAGAATGCTTATGATTTTTGCTACTTCATCATCATCATCATCATCATCATCATCATCATCATCATCATTATTATTATTATTTTCTTCATATATAAAATTGTAAGACTAATATTTTGCCAGAATTTCAGGCATCTATATTTTTAAATTTAACTAATACATGGCCGAGTAATCATTTTGTAATCCTGAGTACCCGGTCCTACTCGCTACTTGGCCTTTGTAAGAAGGTTGCGGCAAGAATGGCATTCAGCATAAAATACTGTCACTGTTTGTATGCATGAACTTATAGTCCTTATTTATTTGTACAATTAATTGACACTTAAGTTAATAACACAGATTCTAATTAGTTGGGGTGTTTGAAATTGCCTAACTTGTATGTCTGAAGTTCCCTAACTTCTATATTTGAAGTTTCCTAACTTCTATATTTGAAGTTTCCTTTGCCAACTCAAAGGCCATAGTTAGTTCAATATATGCGGTAAGAATCCTATATACCTAAAGGGAGAATCCTCCCTCCCAAACATTCCCGCTTCTCTCTCCCCAAGTATTCATATGTTTCAATCCTTCATATTCCATGTCTTTCACACTAGACAAAAACTCACCTTCATCTCAGCTGATCCTTCGATTTCTCCCTTCTTTCACGCTGGACGAAAATTGCGCAGTTAACGCATCACAAATCTGCGATCTTCTATGTAAAATCAGCGAGTGCTATAAATTCATACTTATTCAAAACTGAATCACATTTTATGTATCTAATATCTCATTTCCATTCCAGCTCAATTTTTCTTTCTATATTTAGTTTTCTTTTCTGCTATAATTTTTTCTATCAACCACTGTCTTCCCCCACCCTCTGACCTTCGAAGCAGCGGCTTCATCCCACAATGCCGATAGTTGTTAAAAACCGGGACTTTACTTCAGACAGTTGTTCATGGCCTCTGATTATCATTGCAGCTGCTAAAAGAAACAGGGTCATCACTTGCTGCCTTTCTCACATAGCCGCTCACAGCAATTTTAGGAATTCAACTGACCCCTGCAGCCTTGTAGCAGTGAAGGAAGAATTCGGGTGATTCCACACACCGATTCATGTTCTCGCAGCAAGAGAAGCAGGTCCACAATCATACGGAGAAGAAGAACACAAACTTTTATTGTGGGGTCTAAAAGTTCCTTTTGTACTGTAGCTACTCTATCATACTTCTACGGAAAAGAACTACGCAGTAGTAACTAAAAGGGCTTTATTGGAACAAATATTACTTTATTGGTGTTTCTTAATATGTGTGCCCCACCTCATGTTGCAAGATTTCTAGAACGGAGGACGTATATAGGTTGAAAATTTCCAATATTGTCTTTATAGCTTATAATTTTTTCAACTTTTGCTGAATAAGTCCAATACGAGAAGATAAAATTCACTCATTTCCTCAATGAGAGGGTGTATACAAGATGGTGAGTGCTTTGCAAGTGGCAGGAAAGTGTTTCTGGACACATGGTTCCTAAAATCTTGGAGGATCGTTAAGTGTAGTTACTCCTATTATCATCTTCTTTTGTTGATTTTTACACCCTACCCTTTTTATGTTGAGTTATCGAACCGACTGATACATAAATGTATGGTCTAATTCAACCCTAAAAGAGCATTCTTGAATGCACAGATAGGGTAGGTAAAGTAGTTAATGTTTATAAAAGTTCATATAATGATATTGAATTTTTATGTTCAATCGTAATGTGCATACTTAGTGTACTTCAATTTCAGTTAAAGGAAGCTCTGCCTAGAACTGAAATATAATTTTCTCTTGCCTTGAATTTAAGTTTGAGAATATCCTATCCAAGTGTGTTTAGCTGTTTTTATGATACATCAATGCTCTGCAAAATTTCAGTGTTATCGGTTATAGACTATAGTAGTGCTTGAAGGCCCAAGCTCTCTGGTTCTAGGAGCAATCCAAGCTAGAATAGCACCACAAAGATTTTTTTCAGGGAAATTGCCCTAAATGGGAGTAAATGAGGTTGGAATTCCAAAATAGGACTACTATGTTTTTCTTCCCGAAATAGGACTTGTTACTGACATGTATGAAAAATACGGTCATGTTAAATGCACTGTACTGCAACTATTTGACAGTCACGCCTACAAGATGACAGTAAATACTGTCATGTTAGTCCTATTTCGGAATAAAAACATAGTAGTCCTATTTTGGAATTCTAAACTCCATTTACTCCTATTTTGGGAAATCTCCCTTTTTTTCACTATGAATTTAAGAGTGAGCAGTTATGGCAAACATGAGCTAGGATAGTGTCTTTAAGTATGTTTGTATGCATGTGAATTTCAGCAGAAAAGTTATCGTTGACATTAATAAGGTAAAGCTTGTATGCATGTGCGTTTGAAGACCAACTGAAAAAGAACTTTGTGCATGAATATAACATTTCATAAGGAATGTCATTAGAAAAATCACAGGACATTGCCCACATCTGTATAAAAGGGCATCACATCTAACTTGGGGATCACAAGTTCACAAAAAATATTCCATGTAAATGTAGTTTACAAAAAGCATGAACTCGCTTCTAACGAGTATAATTTTAAGCACTTAAAGAGTTGATTGAGAGGATATACATATTTGTGACTCATAATCAATTGCTGCATCATATTGCATTTCAATCTATAAGACACAAGTTGTTCTGTGAACAGAAATGAAGTAAGCATGATCTCCACTATGCTTTGGTCAATGCTTATCACTTTTAGTCTGCAAGAATCAGATGCACATACCATTCTCTATGCCATATTTCCAAATGCTTATCAAATCACTTAACTGCACTTATTTACTATCTTCAATGTTTCTTATTTATTTCCCTATTGGTTCTTATTTTCCAGGTTCCTCAATTGCTTCATTAGTTACTCTTAGTCTGCTAGGAGGTACTATAGAGTTGATGGAGGGTGATTCGTTTTATTAAGACTACATATTTCCACTTTACATGTGAAAGAATGACTCGGTTCTTTTATTTATTTTTTACACATCAACTATCAAGTGACATTTCTGTAGTTTTTATGCATATATTTTGATGCGTATGTTTCTACATGCTGCAAACTATGTTTCTGGAGGCACTGCAAAATCAACTATACTTTTATATTTGGTTTCAAGCAAGGGAAAGAGCTGGGCACGGGGAAGTCTTTCTCCGGATCCTTTGCAATGGTCTAGCGATGCATGTCCATGACACCTTATAGGAACTGAAAGCAAACCAGTCCCTAAGCTCATTTGGCAGAGGAGGTGATAAGGGAAGGAGCAAAGTTTGTTGGAAGACTGATCCAAGTGGGAGACGGGAGTGCTAAGGCAGGCTCCTGTTTGTTAATGCCTTTGATAATGAAGGAAAGTGCCTCAAAAGTGAGGCAACTTTGCACTGGAGCCTGTGGTTCACCTGAGAAAAATCAAACCAGCCAGTGTGTGAAAGAGGTTTTAGATAGAAAAGGTTCTGCTGGTTGTTCTCTTGCCACATAACTTAAGCTGAAATGTATGTAGCTAAGAGCTGAAAGCTAGAAAAGTTTGGTAAAATATATCAAAAGACATTGATTATAGGCACATGAAGCGTCTTACTTATGCAAGAGTATGATAATTAGACTTAAATATTTTGCAAACCAAAATGGCATTTTTATTTAACTCCTTTAGTGGACCACATTCAGGTACAAGGGATTGTATGATTTGTATCATGGTGTTTATTTACTAATAGAGTACAAATATGTTTGTTGATAATTACAAACCAATCTTGCCAAGGGTAATCACTTATTCACTTGGAATACTTGGAGATCTTTTTAAAGATTACTTGTGCTGGTGAAAATGTATTGGTGCACGATGAAGTTAGAAATATGTATGCATGTTGTTTTAGTGGTGTGGGGGGTGGGGGGGGGGGGGGGGTCAAAATTGAAGGATGGAATTTTATCAATTCGGGACCTGAAAGATAGACGAACTATCAATTCGGGACCTGAAAGATGAAATGTATCGGTATAAGACTCGAATGATGAAAAACTATCAATCTAGGATCCGAATGATTGAAAACTATTAATTTAGGACCTAAGTTTTCATAAATTTTATTATTATTTTTATTTAAACAAATTTAAATAATATCTAGTTTTATTAAACTAATAAACTTTTGTGAAGAAAATTTCACCAAATATTAGCAATGGAATTAATAAAAAATTAAATAAATCAAAACCTATGAAATGTTAGGTCCTAGATTGATAGTTTTTCATCTTTCGAGTTCTATACTGATACATTTCATCTTTCAGGTCCTGAATTGATAATTTATCTATCTTTCAGGTCTCAGATTGATAAAATTCCGACGGCTAGAGGAGCATCGGAGCATCATATGACTGAGAAATAAGCATAGTCTATTCATGATGGGTATATGCTATCCCCTCGCAACGGATATTGTATTCTAATATACGAGTATGTATAAAATTGTCACAAGTCTATACAAAACTACCTTTTAATCATGTCTATATACTTCATATTGATTAGGAATCCTAACTATATAAATCATAGTATAGTATATATACTACGTATATCATACATACGCTATTAATTACAAGATACTTAGTGACTAAGAATCCTAACTATATGTAAATATTGTATAATATGGTTTATCTATCACCTTAAACCATGTTTTCTATCATTCCGTGTAATAATGTATATATATAGTAACTTTCGTTATTACTATGCACAATATAAGAAAACATGCATTTATAATTTATAAAAAATCAATAAGAGTCGTTATTATGTATAGATAAGAATAAGAATCATATGTTCATTCTCACTTGAATAAATAAGAAATTAAAAATCATGGTTCACCTTAAGTAGATGATCTATATATTCATATTATTAAACATCCTAATTTATCTCATACACTTCCATTGTAACAAAAAAGTAAAACATAATTGTACTATATACACATACATACATATATCAACATCTCTATCAGCATTTGGATACAATGAAGTAATAGGACAATTAAAATAACAGGACCTGTCCAAATATATGTGTAATAGTACCTAACTTTTGTTTGAAAAAAAATGACACTCATATATGAGGCTCAAATAAAACTTGGATATTAGTGAGACTCAAATAATATATGAAACTAATGTACGTGAGAACTTTATTATTCCTAGGGTTAGTATTACCCCGACAAATGTCATACTCCCTTTCGCATTTATGCATTGGAAATTTTTCTTGATAGGCAACGATGACAATGAACAAAAGTCAAGGGGAATCATTGGAAAATGAAAACAATGGATGTTTTCTTAGCTTGCATCATCCATTTATCCCTTTTTATGCATAGACAATTTGAATAATGCAATTTTCAGGGTACAAACTCTTAATATGTGATGAAATGTACTTTAATTTGTGTGTTGACTTATAATTCAATCCTACATACACATTCATAAAACCAGAAATTAATTTACATTTATAGCATTCATCATTAACTTCTCGTGCAACGCACATGTGAAAAACTAGTACGAAAATTATTGGAAAATGACCTCAACATTTGTACATTGTTAAACCAAATTTGGTACAAATCATTTCTACATTGATTACACTCAGTGGTGGAAGAGTTATTGGCTTAAGGTGGTTACAATGTTTGCACGTCCATCAAAACCCAATGTAAAAAATATACAATAAATTGAAAATATTAAGCATCAACTGTTATCACTTCAAATGATGTAAACAACATCATTAATATTACTCCTATCATTGTTTGCCTTTATTCTCTACAGTACCCCTCCTCATCATCTGTTTGAACTCATCATAGTTGATCTTTCCATCCTACATAGTAAACTTTCAGTATATACAAATACTAGTATTCAATCAGAGGAAAATGTTTGGGTACGAGTTTTCTTACGTTATCTGTATCCACATCATTAAGGATCTCACCAATCGTAGCTTCATCCCCCATTCCGTAGTCTTTCATAGCATGCCTAAGCTCTTCTCGGGTAATGTATCTGGCGGACACAAATGTTGCAGTTAGTTATAGAAGATAGGAGCTCATGAAGTTCTATGAAAACATGGGGGGAGCGAAACAATGTACCCGTTTCTGTCCTTATCGAAATGATTAAAAGCCATCAACAAGTTGCTTTCGTTCTCAAGCCTATGCCGATGCATTGCAACAGTGATGAATTCAATGTAGTCTATTGTCCCGCTCTTGTCAATATCAGCCTGAGTGTAATGCAAGTGTGTTAAGACCCAAGTTCTATTCTAAAATGTCAACCTCATAGGAGGAGTAACTCAGAACCTTATATAGTGTTTTATTATTTTATAGCTTTCCGGTGTGGGACAAATACTTCAACAAATTGACTTCTAAATGAACTCTAGCTATAACTGATTTGCGTATTGTGTGTGTTAAGTATAAGGTTAGGTTTAACTCAACCCCAAATAACTAACTCTTCATACATTGTACATGTAGATTGTACTCTTCAATGGCTTGTTATTTTCTAGAGAGCACAACATGAAATGCATGTGATACAAATTTTCCCAATATGTGATGAATGGTAAAACACTTGACAGTGTTATAGATTATGAAGCACAAAATAAGGAGACGCGTACTGAAAGTTCTTACAGCAACCATCAGCTGTTTTATTTCATCTTCTGAGAGCTTAGAGCCCAGCTTAGCCAGCCCGGTTTTGAGTTCATCAAGCGTGATGTAGCCACTTCTGTCCGTGTCTATGTTCTTGAACATCTCCTTCAGCCCCTTAATTTCTTCTTCTGGCATGGTTTCTGCAATGACCTTCAAGCAATCACCATTTCAGATATATATTTATCAGTTATATATATGATGAAAATGAGGTGATTTACTTTTCTTGAAAAGGGTTTTTTCCATAAATAGGGCTAAACTGAAGTTCAATTACAAAAAAAAGTGACTACTATTACAGTATTACATATAGACGAAAATCTGATTAACTTGGTAATAGTTTGGAAAATCATGATGTTTCAGCAATTTTTTTATGTTACTCTAGTTTCTTATGTAACAGTTATTGCAGATTTCAATGCCACCGTTTTGGGAAAAAATCCATATACAATTCCGGTGGTGATTTTGGGCAGGGTGAGGTGGGGCGATGGTACAGAGGTTGGATAGAGATTAAAGGTAGAGAAATTTTGAATTAACTAAACAAAGGTTAGTCATATTTTTGAAAAAAAAAGAAAAACTAGTCCTTTTACTTCTTGAAAGTATGCCTTCTTTGACGATGTTAAAAATAAAATTATCATGGGGCAACATTATATATTTATATTGGTGGTACCTTTAGAGCAAGTTGCTTCATCTTGTTCATTGCTCTAAATTGCTTCATTCTGATCAAAACAACACTATTGATAGGCGTGTCTGATGCGTCGCCATCTTCCTTGAGCCATGGGTGTTCTTTTCCATGTAACACACATATGTCATCCTTATTGTTTTTACCACATATATAGGCTTTCTTATTACACAATTCAGCAGTTATATCCCAACTACACACACTTACCAAGGGCGGCAGCTGCAGTTATTCGTCGTTTCGGGTCCACGGTCAACATTTTCCTGATAAGATCCTTTGCACTTGGAGATATTGATGGCCATGGATTGCTTTCAAGATCAAGCCGAGCCTTCAAGATTGCTTTAAAAATGCCATTCTCCGTTTCTGGGTTACCAGTTTGACTAATTTAATTAGCAAAGATGCTAGAATGTCATATTACAAGAAATATTAGTAGCCTTGTACTTGGTTACCAGCATAAAAGGGAGGAAATCCACTCAAAAGGATATATAGTATAACTCCAGCACTCCAGACATCTATCTCTTTGCCATAGTTCCGTGTCAACACCTCAGGAGCAATATAATATGCACTTCCCACAATATCCCTCAACACTCGCCCTGAACAAAGTATGTCGTTCAGGTGTATGTGTACATAATTACCATTGTGTGTTTGTGAGAACTAAATAGTGTCATTCTTGACCTGTCACCTTCAACGTTGAATTGGGTTCATACTAAAAGGTTAATCTCATAGCAGAAGTAGTCTAAAATCTTATATAGTGTTTTATTGTGTTATAGCTTTCTACGGTGTGACAAATACTTTACTTTAAGAGTAGAGTGTATGATGCTATATTGTGAAGCAATGTCTTAAAAATGTAGTCTCATGGGATAAACCATGATGGGATTTTTGAGCTAATAGATTTGAAATCAATTACCTTCCTCAATGAAGATAGAGAGTCCAAAATCTGTGGCCTTTAAGGGGGACTGATCATCTTTGGTGACAAGCAAGAAATTCTCTGGTTTGAGGTCCCTATGGATAACTCCCATGAAGTGGCAAGCATGAACCACATTCACAACCTGTCTCCCAATCCGAGCAGCTTCTTTCTCGGAGTAACTCCCCTTGGCGGTGATCCGATCGAAGAGCTCCCCGCCAGAACAAAGCTCCATCACCAAATACAGGTGGTTCCTGTCCTCATACGCTCCCTTGAACTCCACAATGTTGGGCTGCCCGCTCAAATGCTCAAGCATCCTGACCTCCATCCTCATGTCTGCTACTTCCTTTTCACTCTTCACCAGCCTGCCTGTTGAAATGGATTTGCATGCGTATTTCGATCCTGTAGCCTTTTCTGTACACAGATATGTTGTCCCAAACTGCCCTCTCCCCAGCTCTCTCTCAAGCTCATACAGCTTGGCGATCTCCACGTAAGGCTTTCCCAGAACAGGCCCCAAATCTGGAACAGCCCTTGCTTCATGTTCAACTTTTTCTTCTGCTTCATCATCATCATATATAATGGGTATTGACATATACTTTGTAGAAGAAGAGTCAGTTGATAAAAATATTGGAACTTGACTCTTACTAGCTTTTGTGAAACAGCACCCCATTTTTTATTTGCAAGAACAGATGGAGTTGGTTTGAGAGACAGAAGATGAGAAGAATGGGTTTATGGCATTAAAAGAATTGAAAAGAAGAAGAAGTGTATAACTGGAAAAACTATGCTTTTCAGGTGCTTTACTTTTGCCTGCGGGCTACTGTCATCCTTTCCCTGCTCTGTTAGTCTTGGTATATATTATTGAACAACCCAATGGGGTTTCTTCATTTCTCTGCACTTTTTTGAGTCTACACGCTTCTCTACTGAGATTCTTGATTTTATCCAACTTTTTACCCAAGCTGTAAATAAGCAATGTTCTATTACGGTGGGTTTAGCCTTTAGGTGATTGTTAGAGCATGTTATCTTTGTCTTACAGAGTATTAAATACCAGTCCACCTTAATACAGAGTATTAAATTACCATTGATAATTATTTTTTTAATCAACAATCATTTCTTAATGTTGTCTAAAAATAGTAATGGATTATCATTGTGCAACATATGAATTGTTATAACATAAAATATAAAATAAGGGGAAGTCCTTTTTAATCCTTAGATTCTTCCAATTATGTAATATAGTAGCTGTGTTTTACATTGTAAAAAGAGATTTTCTGACTTTAGATTACAAATGACTAAGGTAGTGTTTTACCTGTTTTTTACAATATAATCTCAGTTACTAAAAGTATCATTCTATCAAACACTTTAATTGGGTTACTTTTTTTTTTGAAAATGATGGACTTTTACTAGTAAGCAATTTTTGTATGATCTTCAAAGAAGCTTTACTAGTAATCAGTTTTTATATGATCTTCAAAGAATGAGCAAATGCAAACACTCCTAATCTAACCTAGTCAGTTTGGTAGATTCTCTAATCCTGTTGTTTTCAAAATGGTTCATTCACCTCAAACTTCTCATTGCTAACATGATCATTGAGGAGATAAAACAAAAGGATGCCCATGTTCTTATGGAACTTTAAGAGATGCCCAGATATGAGTATTTCATTATCAGGACTTAGCCTCATGAGCATCTTAATTTACTGAGGAATTACACTGAACTAGACCAAGTTAATGAAGGACTCAAATTAAAAAAATTAAAGACAAAAACAACAATTTGCATACAAAATACATTGGTATTGCCAAGTTAGAATACGTGACAGACATACCAAGCCAAAAACTCCTCATCAGTCAGGGTTGTTGTGGAGCCTTTTCGTGCCTGGGCCAGCTGCATGTACACACATGTGCCTGTACAGTCACAAAGGAATCATACGAAACTTCAAATGTCCTGAAATACTTTGTGGTTATTGTTGGAAAAATGTATTAAAAATTGCATTAAATGGTCATTTTGGGGCAATTATTTGAGTGGGGTCCACTCCCGATTTGGGTCGGGTCAAAGTGGTTTCGGATTGTCCTTGTTAAGGGCTACAATTCGATATGTGGTACACTCAAAACGGATAACGGGTGAATGAGAAATTGATTCTCGAAGAGGTGTTCTGTTGGCTTCGGACAGAAACCCTCCAAGGGGTGTTCTGCTGGCTTCGGACAGAAACCCTCCAAGAGGTGTTCTGTTGGCTTCGGACAGAAACCCTCCAAGGGGTGTTCTGTTGGCTTCGGACAGAAACCCTCCAACAGGTGTTCTGTTGGCTTCGGACAGAAACCCTCCAAGGGGTGTTCTGCTGGCTTCGGACAGAAACCCTCCAAGGGGTGTTCTGTTGGGGTCTTCTGTCACGCATTTCTTCCGTTACAACAATTAATGCCCAACGTTCTTCTCTTTTAATGCTGCGTTAAATGGACAGTTTATGGACGATTCAATGCCCAACGGACTGCTCATTGATGTCCAACGTTCAGGTCCATTAACACCCCATTTAACACACAACAAATCCTCCTATAAATAGCTGGCAGGTGCTTTGCAACAAAGACACAACGCACAATACATTCCTCACGTATTGAGCTAAAAACACCTATAGCTAATCTCAAAATTCCTTCTGTGTTCTTACTTGGTTCTCGTTCACTGGAACTCTTGTTTGTGTGCTCAAACATTAGTTCGTAGTCATCGTATCCTGGGAAACGATTGTTGCAACGTTCCTAGCACCGTGGGAGGCAACAAATACGTTTTAAGGAAATCGTGCGTAGCACGAACTTTGACTAATTCTGCTTCATCTCCTTTCTTGTTTTTCTCTTGTCATTTTATTTTAATTAATTTTTCTTTATTTTCCGAAACACACCCAACAGTTATTTCTCCAAGACAGAAAAATTGTGTTAAAAGTATTCGTTCCACATCGTAAAGTTATAAAACAATAAAACAGTATATAAGACTTTGAGATATTCTTCCTATTAGGTTGACTTTTTTAGGATGGAATAATGAGTTTTAATAACTTGCACACAAATTATATAGGGGTTTTGACAACCCTTTGATAAAGCTACTAGTAATATTTCAGTCATTCTTTCAATTATATAACACTCATAGGCAGACTTAAACAGTTTTACTTCTTCAAAATATAAAAATTTTTAGGGAGAACTATCAAATAAGCCCTCGAACTTTCCTAAAAAGTGCAAATAAGCCCCTTTACAGGAGGCTTTGTCTGGCTGTCGCCATTTGGGGTGGTTTCTGGTGGAATTTTTTGATGAATTTTTTTGAGCATCTTATTCATCTAGTCTAGTTTATTCATACCAAAGTTCAGCTACAAATGCAATCGAGAAGATAGTCAAATGATTTTCTGAAGTATATTGCTTTGTCTAACTGCACAATTATCTTCAAAAATTCATTTGACTGCGTTACCGATTGAATTTTTAGCTGAAATTTGGTATGAATAAACTAGACTTAATGAAGAAGATACTAAAAAATTTCATAAAAAATGCCACCGTAAACCGCCCCAAATGGAGACGTCCGGACAGAGCTTCCTATAAAAGGGCTTATTTGCACTTTTTATGAAAGTTCGAGTGCTTATTTGATAGTTCTTCCAAGAGATGATGGACCGTTGAAATTGTTGACCCGGTGTGTCTGGTTCCCAAGAAAAGACCTAGAAGAGTATTTTCCGTGCTTGTTTTTTTTATTGACTTGAGTTAATTGACCACACGTGACCCTTTCCTCTTTACCCCTAGTTCATATTGCCTTTTTGGTCATTGAGGGCGATGTCAAAGTTTAAGTGTGGGGAAGTGAATTGGACTCTCGGGCAGTAGTTGTTACGTGAGATTATTAATGTTAGCATGCACATGTGTTAAGTGTATATCTATGGAAAAGTCATGTCAAAATTTTTGTAATTTTGTTCATTAAATTGTTTCTTTGTGAACTAGCTAGAGTTGTGACTGTGCTATTTAAATGTTTTTGAAGTTTTAGGCTTAAACTGCTTACACCTTTAATCTAGTTGTTGAGATGAAGAAGACAATAGTTACTCATCTAATTCATGATTTTCCATCTCACTTGAACGAGTCCTTTAGGAGAAGTCACTTTGAGCTTGACTTTATGTTCTTTTACCCATAATTTGAGCTCTATTGTCAAATGGTCTGTGTTCTTACCTGTGAATATTTCTGACAGAGTTTTAGTGTTTAGAGTGCTAGGGGATCTTTCGAAAGAGATGGCATTCTCGTGCCAACATGACAAGGAAAAATAAACTGAATTAATTGGACTTGAAGGCTTTTTCAAATCTACCATTAGTCCTTCACGAACTTCAAGTATACGTCAAAGCATCAATGTGCAGAGACAATTTAGTTTAGTTGTACATCATGTCTACTCCTTGCATAGAGATAGATGATAGTTCTTATTTAGTGCTTGCTAAATTCCTTGTTCCTAAGAATCATCCCAAAACTCTCGAAGACATTGTAACACCGTCCCTAACTATATTTAATTTTAGTAAATCAAGTAATGAACCTTGAATAATGATTTATGAATTTACAAGGTTGTAAATTTTTTGTTATTTCTTTTGCGTAATAAGTGAATTGCACGCGGGGCCCGCATCGGGAGTGATGGATAGTGTACCCGGGGGTAGCTTATCCGAGGGGTTATTGTGGAAAATAACTAGAGAGAAGTCAGAGCAAATAAGTAAGAGAGAGAGTGTATATTCGATACGTATTAAGCGTGGTTTACAATGGGGGAAAGGGGTGCTATTTATAGTGGTAATAAATGCTAGATAAGGACACGTGTCAGTTTTCTGGTGGTCGAGGGGTCACCTCGACCGGGGTGGCACTGACACTCGCATGTGGCCGCATTAAATGCGGTGGTTGGATGTGACGTTTGTACTTGGTACGGTGATCCAGGCGCATGTGAAGAGGATATTCTGTCGAGGTGGATGCCTTCGGCTGAAGGGTGCTGGGACGAAGGCTCTTCTAACCGAGGGCCCCTACCTGCCGAGGGCTGCAGTTGCCGAAGGCTTGGTTTTCAAGCCTTGTTCTCCTGTGATGCCTCTTCTAACCGAGGGCTCCTACCTGCCGAGGGCTGCAGTTTCCGAATGCTTGGTTTTCAAGCCTTGTTCTCCTGTGATGCCTCTTCTAACCGAGGGCTCCTACCTGCCGAGGGCTGCAGTTGCTGAAGGCTTGGTTTTCAAGCCTTGTTCTCCTGTGATGCCTCTTCTAACCGAGGGCTCCTACCTGCCGAGGGCTGCAGTTGCCGAAGGCTTGGTTTTCAAGCCTTGTTCTCCTGTGATGTTTCTGAGCTCGATTCCGTCACTGGTAGCCTTCGGCCATGGGGCCGAAGCACCCCTTTGCGTAATGTGGGCTGCTTAGAGCTCCATTTTTCTTGGCTTGGCCCGTTTGGTCCTGTTGGGCCTGATTGTAGTAGAGGAAGTATGTGGGTCGGGGGTCCCCTGGGCCATATACTCCATCAGGAGTCCCCCACTCCTTTTGCTGAAAGGTGCTTGAGGGAAAAGGAGTAGCTGTGGTGATTTCCCCGAAGGCTTCCCTGTTCTGTTGGGTGCCTCATTTTCTCAATTCCCCCATATGTCAAGGGCTGAGAACTTCCTGAAGGGAGTGTAAGTGTGTTGCTCGTATGTATTTCTTTGTTGTAGTTTGTAAAGTAATGAGAGATCTGCATTTGTGTGCTTTGCCGAGGGCATTTGTTGACTGAAGGCTTTGTGTGGCCGAAGGCATCATGTGGCCGGAGGCATCATGTGGCCGAAGGCATCATGTGGCCGAAGGCATTGTGTGGCCGGAGGCATCATGTGGCCGAAGGCATTGTGTGGCCGGAGGCATTTTGTAAGCCGAAAGCATCATGTCGAGGGGAGTAGATTGCCGTTGTGATCTTGCCTC